CTTGAACCTATATGGGATACGATATGCATAGTAAAGACTAACTTTATTTATTCATATTGGATTCAATTTCAAGGGTTTAGAACAGTTTATAATAAAGATCTCGTGACTTATGTTACGAGGACAAAAAAAAATCATACATTCGTAAACTGTCTGGCTGTATTTAAAAAAGTGAGGAAGTTTTGTCCTCCAATACGTAAATGGAAATCATTTTGTGCAAAATAGGGGATCAAATCAATCTTGATTAAACGCGTAAGAAAAAAGAACGATGCTCGTCTTATCTGGAAATCTCTCTCTTTCTACGTTCAAGGAGAAGGTCCTTTTGAAAACTATTCAAACTCATGTCCCAGAAATTGAGTCCGTGACCGCAGTTTATGTGCACTTTGTGCAACCACTCAACGAGGAAGCGTCGACTATTCTGAGCGATCCGGAATCCGCCCAAAGAAAAATTCTTGACGATTTACTACGCTATGGAATTTCCGATAATACTACAGAAATTACAGAACAAAATTGTGCTGATAATATTGAAAAAATCAAAAGGTTGCTAACATCACCAAGTGATTCAGCGTCCGAACCTCATTTTTTCCTTACGATACCTCGACCAGGAACTATATCACCATGGTCGTCAAAAGCTACGAATATCGCACACATGTGTAACTTGGAACATCACGTAGAACGTATAGAGCGAGGTGTAGCTTATTTATTAGGAACAAAAAATTCGATCGATATGCGCCATATTATATCCGAAAAATTTGTATCATTTGACCATCATTTGCATGATCGTATGACACAAATTATTGTAAGACATGTTCCAGCTTCTGAAACCATATTCAAACATGGAATCCCAGCATCGTTGAAGTCTATAGATCTGATCGAACACGACCATCTCAATATCGCAAAAGAGAGGTTGACCGCATGGAGCAAGAAACTTGGGCTAGCATTGAATGATGATGAGATTGATTATCTTTTAGACGCATATGTAAGCGGTGATTCGAACCATTGTTTGGGCAGAAATCCGACCGATGTTGAACTTTTCATGTTCGCACAAGTAAACTCGGAACATTGTCGGCACAAAATTTTTAATGCAGACTGGACAATCGACGGTGAAAGGAAGCCACATTCATTATTTAACATGATAAAAAATACACACAAAACTCACCCAGAACGTACAATTTCCGCTTATTCTGATAATGCGGCAGTTTTACAGGGGTTTAGGGCTACTAGGTTCGCTCCTGATTGTAACAATCAGTTTGAATACATATTATGTGAAGAGGATGTGCATATTATTGCAAAGGTAGAAACGCACAATCACCCAACGGCAGTATCTCCCTTTCCTGGTGCTGCTACAGGATCCGGTGGAGAAATTCGAGATGAAGGATCCGTGGGACAAGGTTCAAAACCAAAGGCCGGTTTAACGGGTTTCAGTGTATCAAATCTTCTGATACCTGGATTTGTTCAACCCTGGGAAGTTGATTTTGGAAAACCGTATCATATCGCATCTGCCTTAGACATAATGATTGAAGCACCTCTAGGAAGCGCGGCTTTCAACAATGAATTTGGTCGACCCAACATTACGGGATATTTTCGCACCTTCATTCAACAAGTTCCAACATCTGACGGAAAAAGTGAAATTCGTGGGTATCACAAACCCATCATGATTGCTGGAGGGGTTGGATCTATCAGGCCAAATCACGTGTTTAAGAAGAGAATTACACCTGGCGCGCACCTATTTGTGTTAGGCGGACCCGCGATGTTAATTGGTCTTGGTGGCGGGGCCGCTTCATCTATGGCTAGTGGTTCTAGCACGGTCTCCCTAGATTTTGCATCCGTGCAACGCGATAATGCTGAAATGCAACGTCGTTGTCAGCAAGTCATTGATGCTTGCACTTCGTTAGGTGATGCCAACCCTATTCAATCGATCCATGATGTTGGCGCTGGTGGATTATCCAATGCATTGCCTGAAATTGTGCATGATAGTGAGTTGGGATGCACCATAAGATTACGAGACATTCCCAATGCTGATCCCAGTATGTCACCAATGGAGATTTGGTGTAATGAAGCCCAAGAAAGATATGTGTTGGCAGTGGCTCCGGAAAACATTAAAATATTTGAAGATATATGTGCTCGTGAAAGATGCATTTACGCAGACGTCGGAGTAACCACGGAAAATCAAAATTTGATACTACAGGATTCATTATTGAATTTCACTCCTATTAACATACCAATGTCCATCTTATTCGGCAAACCACCGAAGATGTCTCGAAAGACAAAAACAGTAGAGCCAACGTGTATACCTTTTGACACCAGTCTGAAAACTTATCTTAATATTGATAATCAATCAGATATACTTAGAGATGCGGTATTCCGAATAATTCGCCTACCTACTGTGGCTTCGAAATCCTTTTTAATAACCATAGGTGACCGTAGTATTACTGGATTAGTCGCTCGCGATCAAATGATTGGTCCATGGCAAGTACCTGTTGCCGATGTTGCCGTCACAATGTCGTCATACGGTGTCGGTATTGTCACCGGAGAAGCCATGGCTATGGGGGAGCGAACTCCAATTGCACTAATTTCACAAGCCGCGTCCGCACGAATGGCCGTTGCAGAGATGATCACTAATATTGCGGCCGCGAATATTGAATCGATTTCTCACATACGCATTAGTGCGAATTGGATGTGTGCCGCAAATCATGATGGTGAAGGGTCTGGACTATACGAAGCCGCAAAGGCAATTGGCCTGGATCTTTGTCCTGCTTTGGGAATCAGCATTCCAGTCGGAAAAGATTCGATGTCGATGAAAATGAAGTGGCAAGAAGAAAATGATATACGGGAGGTCACGGCTCCTTTGAGTTTAATTATTTCGGGATTCGCACCTGTGACCAATGTTCACAAAACCTTAACCCCTCAATTAAGGACGGACACCAAAGAAAAGACTATTCTGGTGTTCTTAGACTTGGCAAATGGCAGACAAAGAATTGGTGGTTCAGCTATAACACAAGTTTATCAGCAGGTTGGAGACGAGGCACCGGACGTGGAAAATACAGAAGTTATAAAAGCGTTCTTCCAGGGCATTCAAGCTGCAAATGATTTCATCTTAGCTTATCATGACAGGTCAGATGGTGGTCTGTTTGTCACTATTGCTGAGATGTCATTTGCTGGTCATGTAGGAGTTAATATAAATCTAGAGAGTATCATTCAAAACAATGATTTCGTCAGGGCTCTTTTTAACGAAGAGCTTGGTGCCGTGATACAGATCAATGAACAAAACCTCGGAAGGGTAAAACAAATATTTAAAGAATCTGGTTTTCCCCTTAATCAGATGCACAACATTGCTGAGGTAACCAATGAGATTCAAGACATCGTGATTAATTTGGGCAACCATGAGTTGTTCAAAATTTCGCGAGTCGAACTGCAACGTATGTGGTCCGAAACCTCTTTCCGTATGCAATCTCTACGTGATAATAGTGTGTGTGCACAGGAAGAATTTGATAGTATATTGGATACCAATGATCCCGGTTTACAATATGCGCTGACATACGATCCTTCCGAAGATGTTACTTTGCCATTCCTAAAATCACCAGAGTCACCAAAGCCAAAAGTAGCGATACTTCGTGAACAAGGAGTCAATGGTCATACAGAAATGGCTTTTGCATTTCATCTTGCTGGGTTTTCCGCGATAGATGTTCACATGTCGGATATCATTGCGGGCAAAATAACGTTAAAGGATTTTACAGGTCTAGTTGCCTGTGGCGGATTTTCCTATGGTGACGTACTTGGAGCAGGTTCTGGCTGGGCCAAGTCTGTGTTATTACATCCAAATTCTCGAAGGGAATTTTCGGAATTTTTCAAGGATCGTCAAGACACGTTCGCATTGGGTGTATGTAACGGATGTCAATTTATGAGTCAATTAAAAGAATTGATTCCCGGCACGGAAGATTGGCCATTATTCAAAAAAAACAAATGTGAACAATTTGAATCGAGAACCAGCTTGGTAGAAATTATTTCAAAATCAAATAATTGTAATCCCTCGAACAATACCACAGCATCGAAACCTTCGATCTTTTTAACGGGAATGCATTCGTCTATATTCCCAATTGCTGTTGCTCATGGTGAAGGCAGGGCGGAATTCTCCAGTGAAGAACAGTTAAAACGATTACTGTCAAAAGACCTTGTTGCACTACGATATGTTGATAATTATAAAAAGCCGACAGAAATTTATCCGTTTAATCCGAATGGTAGTCCACTTGGGATAACGGGGGTGCAGACTCCGAACGGAAGAGTGCTGGCCATGATGCCGCACCCGGAACGAGTTTTGCTCAAGGAATCATTATCGTGGTATCCGGAAGATCAAGGAAAAAGTTGGGGCGAAGTGGGACCATGGCTGAGAATGTTTAGAAACGCTAGAGTTTGGGTTGGTTAGTTTCTCAAATTCATTTTGATACCGCATATATTTATTTACTTGGACATAGAAATGCGTCCATATTCTGTAATACATGTTGAAAGATTAAGAATTCAAAAACTTCAAATACAAATTACTTTTTCAAAAAATAAATTTTATCAAGCAGGTATGCTTTATTTTGCATTAAATAATTTGGAAACTTTGAATAAAGTTTATAAGTTTGTAAATATAAATTTCATAATATTCTTTAATTAATTGTAAGGAAAGTATTTTTTTGCTTTAACAAAAACATATGTACAGTACATTGAACATAATTATACAATATACAGTATAATAATAATTATTATTTTAAAAGAAACAATTATATTTGAAAATCATAAATTTTTGTATTTTAATAAAATAATTTTTTTTCTAATCGATTTAAGTTTATTATTTAAAAAATATCGTTATAAATAATATAAATAAAAATTTTTAACTTTTTGTTATTGATTTATCATTATCATTTTTTTTTATTATATGCTTTAAATTCGATATAATAATTCTTAATTCTAATCCTGTTATGTATTTGAATAAGTGTTTTCATATTAGATTTTGACTTTTCCATTATTAACATATAATTCAAGAAAATTATTATAAGGTTGTTTTTTTGTCTTATCTTTTAACTATAACAAAAAAATCATAATTATTAGTTTATTCTCTTTAGAAGATCAGCACAAGATAATATTATATTGGAAACAAGACCCTCAATATAAATAAAATCTATAAGTTATACTATAACAACAATATACAAAATTCAATTCTTTTAATTATATTAATTAATTTTTATTGTTCTTTCTAATAAATATGTATATTGATTTATAATACAACTAATAATTATTTATTATTATTATTTTTCTTTTTTTTACAAAAATTTTTATATTATTTTAATTTATCAAAATTAAATTAAATTATTTTTTTAAAAAAAAAAACTCTTTTTCACTTCTTCTGTAATACTTGAAATTTACTTTTTAGGAAATTCTTAAGTTATTTGTTTTTTTTCATTTTTTTTTCAATCTTTTTATTTTTATTTATTTATTTGTTTTTATTTTTAAATCTCTTTTTAATATATATTTTTCTGTCAAAATCAAGTTTTTTTTTTTTTTAAAGTTTTTTTTCTTTAAATTTTTTTTTTTTTCAAAATATTACTTTTTATTATTTTTCTAACCAATCGATTTTTTTTTCTTGAAATTATATTAAAAAATAATAACTTTTTTCAAGTTATAAGCTTTAAAAAAAATTTTTTTTATAGTTTTCAAAAAAAAAACAAATAATTTATCTTTTCAAAAGATTATTATAATTATTATTATCAAATTTAATATTGTTTATTTATTAATGATTAAATTAGATATATCTAAAAAAACTATTATATAACTATTATTATTTGAATCTCTTAAAAGTTATACCTTACAATATTTAAACTGAAATAATATCCAATATAAATATAATTAATTTTTTTTTTTTTTTTTTTTTTAGTGCACCAACGATAATTGTTTGGCTGAATATTTATTCAATAACGATGTTTACATATATCTGTTGACATTACTATCTAGGACTATGCTATAACATATCGATTGTTAACTATACCCAACACTTATCGGGATTGCTCCAAATAACAACGTTTGCTATAGCTTGTTCCTAACTATATTAGGTATAGAGGCTAATTTACTGGACAAAAGTACTCCTTTGTTAGACTAGTAGCATGCGTTTTCACTAATAGTCGGACAGCTTTATTTCTAACTGGGGAGAAATTAAGGGGAAGTTGAAAGGAGGCACTAGGGGTAATATCTATGGCGAATAAAGCTACATGATCACTGCTTGCTCCATCAGGGATAAATCCCTTTACCA